TTTCAAAATATAATATGGATTTAGTTTTATGTTTTTTTTTTAGTATTGCCTCTGGAAGCCATTGATTCTGCCATTTATTTGTAAATAATAAATCAGATAACATGTATTAAAGCAGTGATTCTCTACCCTGATCCTCAAGAACTCCTTTCCTGCATGTTTAGATGTTTCCCTGATTTGACGCACCTGGTTTGAATGAATGAGTGATTAAGTCTTCTGAAGACCTGCTGAATAGCAGGGAAACAAGTAAAACATAAGGGTACTTGAGGACCAGGGTTGGGAACCACTGTTCTATATAACCTGGATCTTTAATTTAGTTCATTTTTCTCTGCTAAAGGTAAAAAGATGATTTTTTTTCACATCATCTGTCAAGTTAGCAAAATATAATAAATCAGTGGGCAGATTTTCATGAAACTCTGGCTGTTGGGTGTACATCTACAACTGATTRCCTTTTGGAATCAGTCCAATCCAAGATGGCTGCTAAAGCTAATTAAACCTAGCAAACACAAAGATGAATAATTTAGATTAATAAACACTGAGCTGAAGTTTGATGTGGTGTAAGCTCAGAATTAACAACACATACTGATATGTCTTGAAAACATGCATAATATCGTTAATAAGGTTTGACCTAAACAGCTCCGACACTGTCTCTTATTATAAGAAGATCTTAGTTTAGTTTAGTTTGAAACTCTAGCGTGAAGGTGACAGGTGATGAATTACTTCAAGCAATGCTAATATTTTTAGTCATTTGTTTATTTATTTTTTCTTTTAATAAGGCTTTCAAACTACATGGTAAGGTCACGCTTTAGAAATGCCTTGGTTTGGAAAATGTAACTTTTCTTGTGTTTTCATAAAGTTTGCAGTAAATTATACATTTCTGTTAAATGAAAGACAATTTCTATCCCCTCTGTGACAAAACTGAGTGACTCAAATGAGATCTCCATTAAGATATTCAGAGTGAGTCTAAAGACACAGCACGCCCTTTTATATTGATCCAATTAGGCGGCCTTCGAAATCGCAGTTATGCTCTGGAAATAGCCTGCCTCTTTATCTCAGTTCACACACTGCCAGGGACTTGGAATTTGCATATTAGGCCATTCAAATGATTCATTTGGTTGTCTTCTATTGATTGAGATGTATTTTGACTAATTGGGTTGACGTATAGCTTCTCCAGAGCCAATAATGTGCAGCAACTTCCCCATGTCCCACCTCAGAATTGGTTGACTCTAGAACTAACAAATCAGCTCAGAGCATTTTTTATTTTATATATATACACTCACCAGCCACTTTATTAGGTACACCACGCTAGTAACGGGTTGGAC